CTGCTTTTTTTTCTTTTTTTTTTTCTTCACCCTCACTAATAGTCCCAGGAATATTGAATGAGTCATGTAGGATCAGAACATGAAGTCAGACTGGATCAGTATGCTGTGTCTGACAGTGTCTAGAACCAGATGCCTCAGGAAGGTACAAAAAATATCAGAGCGAATAACTGTATGATAACCAGCCTAAGGAGTGGTTTGTGCCCACTTTTTTTCTTTTTTTTTTTCTTCACCCTCACTAATAGTCCCAGGAATATTGAATGAGTCATGTAGGATCAGAACATGAAGTCAGACTGGATCAGTATGCTGTGTCTGACAGTGTCTAGAACCAGATGCCTCAGGAAGGTACAAAAAATATCAGAGCGAATAACTGTATGATAACCAGCCTAAGGAGTGGTTTGTGCCCACGAAAGCTCATGATAACACTTATATATTTTTGTGAGTCTCTAAGGTGCTACAGGACCACTGTTGTTGTTTTTTTGTGTTACGGCTACCCCTCTGAGACTTTTCAGCCTAGAAAGAACTTTCTAACTCCTGTTATCTATAATTGGTTTATGCCATCAAGTCCATAATAGTTTATACATCTTTTTATTAAAACAAACCTTAATTAAATTAAATTTGAAGGTTGTAATTAACCCGATTATTTACTATTTCTTTTTTAATCCTAGTAAGCAGTAGGTCACAATGGAAGAGTGTCATGTGAGAAGTCAGTTATGCAGTGTGAAAACAACAAGTCTTTTGGCTGTTAAATTAAGTGACTTTGTACTTTAGCAGAGAAAAAATAAAAGCATCTGACTTATATTTGCTGTACCATTTTTTTTTTTTGTATTTCTCTAGCATGTCCCTTCTTACTCATCTCCTCTCTCTTTGGTCTTTTTCTTTGCCAAATGCCTGAGATCAAGGCATAATGTCAAACTTTATTTTAAAACCATATTGGAGAGACCATCTTTTAAAATAAAATTTAATGCCTTAGAAATTGTCAAAAGTAACTAGCTGTTGAGACATTCATCATCTTGATACTCGTACTGTTGATGCCTGTAGCATTAATTTGCAGTGTTAGGGAAAACAGATGTTGTGTATTTGTTGCTATACAACCCCAGGTTTGGAGAAAGATAAGGGCTGCCATAAGCAGACAAAATGCAGTAGAAAGTGGCAATACTGTAAGCATAGAAAATAAGAGAATGCAACTGAGTAATAGGAGGAGGGAGAGGGAGAGGAAAACAAAGCTAATAGTGAAGTAGATGTGAAGGTTGACTATTATTATTCTCCAAAGATCAGACAATGACAAATCTAATCTAGTGAGGAGGGTTTTAAACTAGGTTTGATGGGGGCAGGTGACCAAAGCCCATATGTAAATGAAAAACATGGGCACCTGACAGTTGGGTCAAGTTATGGGGAGCATAGGATAAAATAGCAGGATAAAGGGGAGACAAGGCAGAAGGGGGGGGGGAGAAAAATCAAATCAGTATCTTAGATGCCTGCAAAGAAATGCAAGAATTATGGGAAATAGGCAGGAAGAACTTGAAATGCTAGTAAATAAACACAACTCTGACATAATTGATATCACAGCGACTTGGTGGGATGATGCACATGACTGGAATATTGGTATTAGAGGGTACAGCTTGCTTAGGAAGGATAGACAAGGGAAAAGGAGGAAGTGTTGCCTTATATATATTGAAAAGATATATACTTAGACTGAGGTTGAGATGGACATACAGAGACTTGTTGAGAGTGTCTGGGTAAACTTAAAAGGGGTAAACAAACAAGGATGATGTCATAGTAGGGAATCTATTACAGACCATCTAACCAGGCAGAAGAGGTGAATAAGACTTTTTAAACAGCTAACAAAATCTTCCAGAACACAGGATTTGGTGGTGATGGGGGACCTCAACTATCCAGATTTTTTGTTGGGAAAATAACAATATGGCACAGATTATCCAACAAGGTCTTAGAATGAATGTTTTTTATTTCAGAAGGTGGAGAAAGCTACTATGGTGAGGCTGTTTTAGGTTTGATTTTAACAAATAGGGAGGAACTGTCTGAGAATTTGAAAGTGGAAGGCAGCTTGGGTGAAAGTGATCGTGAAATTATAGAGTTCATGATTCTAAGGAATGGCGGAAGGGAGAACAGCAAAATAAAGCCTATAGGTTTCAAAAAGGCTGACTTGAGTAAACTCAGTGAGCTGGTTGGTAAAGTCCCGTGGGAAGCAGGACTAAGAGGAAAAACAATTGTAGACTGATGGCAGTTTTTCAAAGCAACATTATTAAGGGTGCAAGAGCACACCATTCCACTCTGTAGGAAGGACAGGCAGAATGGGAAAAGACTACCCTTGCTTAACCAGGAGATCTTGAATGATCTAAAAATAAAAAAGAAACTAGATCAATGTACAAAGGATGAATATAAAAAATAACACAACTATGTAGCCGCAAAATTAGAAGGGCGAAGACACAAAATGAACTCAATTTAGCTAGAGACATAAAGGGTAACAAGAAAATATTTGACAGATATATTAGAAGCAAGTGGAAGATCAAGGACAAGGTAGGCCCATTGCTCAATGAAGAAGGAACAATAACAGAAAAAGTGGAAATGGCAGAAGGGCTTAAAACTTCTGTGTCAGTTTTCACCGAGAAGGTTGGTGGTGACTGAATACCTAACACAGTGAATGCCTAGGAAAATCAGATAGTTTCAGATGTTAAAAAGTCATTTAGCAAAGTTAGACGTCTTTGAGTCACCAGGGCCTGATGAAATGCATCCTAGAATACTCAAGGAGCTAATAGAGGAGGTATCTGAACCATTAGTGATCATCTTTAAAAAGTCATGGAAGACAGGAGAGATTCTAGAAGACTGGGAAGGGACTATATAGTGCCCATCTATAAAAAGGGCAATAAGGACAACACAGGAAATTACAGACCAGTCATCTTAACTTCTGTGCCAGGAAAGATAATGGAGCAAATAAGGAATGCATCTGCAAACATCTGGAAGATACGGTGATAAGTAACAGTCAACATGAATTTGTCAAGAACAAATCATGTCATCCCAACCTGATACCTTTCTTTGATAGGGTAACAAGCTTTGTGGATAAGGGAGAAGTGATATGCATGATATACCTAGATTTTAGTAAAGCATTTGATACAGTCTTGCATGACCTTCTTATCAATAAACTAGGGGAGATACAACATAGAGGGGGCTACTGTAAGGTGGATAAATAACTAGTTGGATAACCATTCTCAAGCTCTGTCTACATTGCATTTTTTTTTTTTTGCGGAAGAGGATATGCAAATGGAATGCTCATTTGCATATCTCATTCAGCTCTTTTTGCAGAAGAGGTTTTGGCACTAAAAAGCCCCGTGCAGCTGGGGCCATTTGTCATTTAAACTCCCCCCCCCTTTTTTGCAAGATCCAGTAAACCTCAATTTTTGAGGAATAAAGGATCTTGCAAAAAAGGGTTGTTGTTTTTTCTGACAAATGGCCTCCTCTACATGGGGCTTTTTAGTGGCAAAACCTTTTCTGTGAAAAGAATCCAAAGAAGATATGCAAATGAGCACACCATTTGCATATCCTGTTTTTCAAAAAAATGCAGTGTAGACCTAGCCTCGGAGAGTAGTTATGCCCTTCCAGCATGACTGAATTATTGTTAACAAGTAGGGGTCTGCCAGGATATTTTTTGGGATTGGTTCTGTTTAATATCTTCAATTTAGATAATGGCATAGAGAATATGCTTAAAGTTTGCAGATGATACCAAGGTAGGAGTGGTTACAAGTACTTTGGATGATAGGGTCATAATTCAGAATGATCTGGACAAACTAGAAAAATGGGGGTAAACAGGATGGACTTCAACAAGGACAGAAGCAAAGTATTCTACTTAGGGAGGAGCAATCTGTTTCACACATACAAAATGGGAAGTAACTGTCTAGGAAGGAGTACCATAGAAAACCATCTAGGGGTCACAGAGGGCCACAAGCTAAATATGAGTCAACAGTGTGATACTGTTGCAAAAAATCAAACACCATGGGATGCATTAACAGAAGTGTTGTAAGCAAGACATAAGAAGGATTTCTTCCCCTCTACTCTGCACTGATTAGGCCTCAGCTGAAGTGTTATGTCAAGTTCTGGGCACCTCATTTCAGGAAAGATATAGAGAAATTGAAGAAGGTCCAGAGAAGAGCAGCAAATCATTAAAGGTCTAAAGAACATGACCTACGAGGGAAGACTGAAAGAACTGGGTTTCTATAGTTTAGAAAATAGAAAACTGAGAGGTGGCATCTTAACAGATTTCAAGAACCCAAAAGGGTGTTACAAGGAGGAGGGAAAAAAAATCTCCTTAGCCTCTGAGGATTGGACAAGAAGCAATGGGCTTAAATTGCAGCAAGGGAGATTTAGGTTGGACATTAGGAAAAAGTTCCTAGCTGTCATTAAGCACTGGAATAAATTACCTATGGCGGTTGTGCAATCTCCAACACTAGAGTTATTAAGCAGCAGGTTAGATAGATCATCCCTGATAGATGCCTGGATAGTGCTTGTTCCTGCTATGAGGCAGGGGATTAGACTTGATGACCTCTTGAGGTCCCTTCCAGTTCTAGTATTCTGTAAGGGGGGAGGGGAAATATAGGATGAAAGCAACTAAAAATAAGGCTGAGGCAGGGTCTCAGTTTTAATTTCCTTAAGCATAACAATTTTTTTTACTAAAAGCAATGAGGAGTCCCATGGCACCTTCAAGACTAACAGATTTATTAGGACATAAGCTTTTGGGGTAAAACCCACTTCATCAGATGAATTGGAGTGGAAAATTCAAAGGGGTGAACCTCTTGGCCCTGTCCCTTCACCAGAGGCCCTGTCACTTCTAGGGGTACAGAGCCATACTTTGCCCCAGGGCCTGCAGTGGCTGTTGGCCCTGCTGCGAATACCGTTACTTCCATAATATAATGTATCCTCCAACTGCAAGTGATGCATTTTGAAATATCAATTACTACTGAAATATTGCTGTGTATATTGTGTCCCTTGTGACATGTTCTTGATGATCAGATTTGTTACTGGTTACAGAAATTAAATCTCTGCTTATTTTTAGTAATCTTTCTATATTGGTAGGGTAATTTCACATATGCATGTTTTCAAGAAATGAGTTCACAAGGAGATCTTTATATGCTGTATAATCTTGCTGGAAAACCAAGGCCTACTCTTTGGTTGGATGGTGCAGTGAAGTTTTATGGGTATTTCACTTCTGTGCCCTTCCATTAGGGTTTGCAATAAGCTAAGGCTGGACTAATAATATGTATTTCATGTATCCTGTTGCAAATTGGACCTAAACCCTGCAGTAAAGCCCTTGGAATCTGTAACTAACAAGATGGTTTATTAGATGATGAGCTTTCTGGCCCATCTTGTTAGTCTTTAAAGTGCTACATAGTCCTGTATTTTGTTTCAGCTACTCTAGACTAACACGGCTACATTTCTATCACTTGGAATCTATGGCATTCTGATGCAGCAGACTAGAAATTCTTTGGCATCTTGTTTTAAAATCACCAGATAGTCTGATGGCAAGCTGAGAAGTTTGCTAGTGTTTTTGTACAGGACTTACGATGTCTGTGCACTGATTGTAGCATGAGACACACCCAAAGTTCAAACTTGAGTTGTTTGTGTAGCTAATCAAATAATCGAATAATCTGTGTAGCTAATCAAATAACCTGGATTAAAATCAATTGTTATAACATCAAACAATGAACAGATGTGAGTGCTCTGTACAATATAAAAAGTTTGCAGGCCTGAACTTCTCAGATACTCGAATTATTTTTAATAGTATGAAGAATGTGTGAAAATTCTGTATTTATTAATATTATATGTGTCATTTTGCCTACTTAATGTTACTCTGCTTAATTGCATGAAATTAAATCAAAGGAGGCTGTTAGGAAGGAACAAACAGGAAATGAAACAATGCCAGAGAGGTTACTGAGTTCCTTATGGGAACACATTGAAGAGCCATTAATTGTGACATGCCCACCCACCTGGTTCTAGCTAGGATAGAAGGTTTATTTTCCCAAGGCCCAAGAGCAGGATCAAAGGGATACAAAACCATTAAAGATTCTCTCTCTCTCTCTTAGAGAGAGGAAGGAGGGGGATGAGCAGGCAGCCAAGGACAGCCATGGAAGGAGGGAAGCAGAGAAAAATGCTGCATGCTCGGTCTCTGTCCAGGAGTAAAGACAAGTGTTGAGGCTGAGTAGAATGTACTCAACTCTTGCAAAGGGGATAGAGGATAAAATTTAGGTAAGTTTCTGGTCTGTCGGCCTTCTGTTGTTTTAACTTACTTGAATACTGTCACTGTTTCTGTTGGCTAACAAATGTGATTTGCTTTTGAGAAGGCTAGCTTGTCACTGCAAACATTTCCTGTTTACAAAGCTCCCTGCAGAGAGAACTCCTGCTTGGAGCAAAAACAAAGTGGCTCTGCTAGAGTCACTGTGAGAAATGAGTGCTGAAACTGAAGGGTTCCCAGAGCGGTAGTGTCAGGAGACTCCCTCTTATGTGATGTAGAAGCCCAGAACCTAATGCTAGGACTCTATTTTCTAGAGATTGCAGAAAGTGGTGCAAGGCAGTCTGTGTTGCATAACAGATGATGAGACTATTTAATCTAGGACAGTTATATGACTGCTACAAGAAATCTGCAGTTGACATGTTTGTGGCAGTTTAAATAAAGTCTAGTGTAATGCTGGTCTGCAGCTGAGAATCATTCACTTGTAGAAATCTTTGAAATGGGGTTGAGAAGATACTTTGTCTAAAAGCAATTTTTATGAAGGTCCAATCTGCATGGGGACCGTTCTAATGAAATTTAATTAAACTGATTTTGTTTAATGATTTTCAGATTATGGAGTTGACTTGTAGTGCTTCACTATTGATTTAGTTCTCACTTAATATGAAGGTCTCTGTAATTTAAATAATTGCTATCATCACTAGTAACTGAAGTAACTTCTACGCTTTTGATACCAGAAAATAGTGCAGAGAACAAGTTTCAGAATACTGTAAAATAAAGCATGGGACGTGTATGTCACAAGTAAGTTTTTTTTTATAACAAAACTTGAATTACATAAATTAGAAGCTTTTTGATAAACTTCTACATCAAAGTCTCATGAACATAAATTATGGCCTTTGTTTTACTCTGTGCAGGGAACTGGTTATGGTCCATTGGATTACTGATGCAAAATAGAAAAGGGATTTGCACAACTGATAAAGATGGTTGTGTTAAAAAAGAAATTTACATTTGAAAGCCTGGTTAGATTTTATTCTGATGTAGAGGTCTGGATTTCATTACAGAATTTGTTACCCATCTCATGTAATACTACTTGAAAATATAATTTACATTGGGCTGACTATGAAGACTGTAACTGGATTGAAAACTATGAAGGAATGCAAACTGTTGGTAATGCTGAGATTTGATTGCTGTAATTGCTGCAATTAATCCACAGATTGGTTTGAATGTTCAAATTTATTGTATTCAGGATATGCTGCAGGGTTGTATATTAATGAACATAATTATTGTGATCAGGAAAAAGGGGTAAACAGATGATTCTAAATTAGGAGGTGTAGTAAATACTAGAAAAGCAGTAAGGAAAGAGGAATAATAAGTAGAAACTACAGTGGTTAGAAATAGGTTGTTTCAGGCTTAGGAGATACAGCAAATAACATAAATAGTGCAAATAAAGGTAAAGTAGTAATGACTATTTAACACTAGCCACACTCTGGATAAAATTCCTTTTTATTTTCTTAGTCCTCCATGCTGGCAGGAGGTTTGTTTTTATCTAGGGTGTTTGCAATCTGGTGGTGGGTGGGAAGAGGTTAACTATACATCTGAAAACTATCTGTATGTATCCATGTTTGCTTATTTCCTCCCTTTACCCAGCCTTTCCATCACAGGCTTTTGTTAACCTCAGATCTGAGTTAAATTCTTTTATCCCCAGAGCATCCATGCCCCCAAAACATTCTTAACTAGCAGTATACAGGGTGCAAAAGGTTGTTGTGCCTGCTGTGATTTTTAACAGTGTCCACATTAAAATCTGCAGCAATGTTGGCTGTGTCAATTTCATGTCATTTGTGGTCATTGTGTGAAGTGAGGATTTTTCCACTGGTATTTGTGAAGAAGATAGCCAACTCAGGTTTTATGGGGGGTTTTTTTTTAACTAGAGAGAAGTTTCCATGGTTTATTTGACACTACTGCAGTCTGGTTTTAGAGACTGGGGAAAGAATTGAGAGGTTGAGAGGCGAGTAGGAGTAGAACTTTGTGTACAGCTTAGTGCTATGTTGGCCTCTTTTTAGAAAAGTGCTTAAAATTTCGGGTGTCTGAATTTCTCTTCCAGTTTTCTTTGTGCCAGGAAGTCTCTTATGTGGTCACTGCAGTACTACAGTGACAAGCCAAAGGTGGGGAAATAGAAGCTAGAGGAAGAAGATGAATCTCTTACCTACCCTAGCACTATCATCCGCCTCAGAAAACTAATCTCCTTGGAAAATGAGTCTCCTTAGCAGACAGATTAATCTATCTGTCAATACACCTGGCAGAGCAGACTCTCTCTTCTGACGTGTTTGGGCTTTCTATGGAGAAATAGGATGGCTTGAAATTCCTTGCTGATGAAAACAACTTCTGTTTGTTCTGCAGTAGACAGCTGGCAAAGAGGTCTCTCCCTGAAGGACTTCAATGTATCTTTCACTCAGTATTTCTTTTCCTCACATGCTTTTAATGCACAAATCTTAGAATTCAAACTGAATAAAACAGTGGTACTCAGACTGTTTTTCTATGGAGAAATAGGATGGCTTGAAATTCCTTGCTGATGAAAACAACTTCTGTTTGTTCTGCAGTAGACAGCTGGCAAAGAGGTCTCTCCCTGAAGGACTTCAATGTATCTTTCACTCAGTATTTCTTTTCCTCACATGCTTTTAATGCACAAATCTTAGAATTCAAACTGAATAAAACAGTGGTACTCAGACTGTTTTGGCTGCTATTTGTCTCCTGCTGACACACCAGGCTTCCTAGTTAGGTGTGGTTTTAGGTCTTCTAACTTGCAGAATTTTTGTATGGTGGAAATCTCAGTTGTATAGCAGTGTTACAGAAACCCTTTCATTCCAGATGGACAGGTCTCTCTGGCTAATGTGATAGGCTACGGAGAAATGTTCCCACATGCATCATCAATATTAATAGAGGATCAAATTTAGTGGAGTTGCTCAGATGTTTTAGCCTTGTGTTCAGTAGGACTTGGGCACTATTTACTCTAGTGCTGGTCTAGTAATGGTAAAAGCACTAGCATAGAATAGGTACAGATATATTTACCATTCTGTTTTCTAACCCTGTTCAGAGGCTAAAATTTGGCCATTGAATTGAATCTTATCTGTAAATTAGGGACCATGAGCTGGATTATATTCCAAACTGTATCAGCTCTGTAGTGCTAACAAGCCTAAGGAAAAACATTATAAGATTGTGTACTTAAAGACTGTGTCAGAATGCAGGCAGACATAAAAAATAGGTGAAGTAAGGTGGAGCAAGTAATATTCTGAAATCTTCTAATTTTTCAGTGCTTGACTTTGCAACCTGAATCAAGTTCTCACTGTGTGTGCGTGTGTAAAATATGTGTATTGTAAGCTCTTTGTGGCAGTCAAGTCTTTTCATTATGGTTTTAGAGTGCTGAGTTGGATGGCTGCTTCATACCTTGGTTATGGCATGTGGGAGCAATCCTAGTACAAATAATACTTGGTTCACCCTGCTAGATTTTCCAGGAACAATTGTTTATACACTTGTGTGAATAAGTGCTACCGTAATTCAATTCCCTGAATGTGCTGGATGCATCATATGTTTCCTTGTCATTTCTCCATGAAGGAATTGATGTACCAATTCAGTAACGCTGGTTGTAAAGTTGAAGAGACCTTATGGGCTGAGTGTGTCTTTTTGTTAAACCTTTTAAAATGCTGTCCCTGTGTAGAGTTGCCGGCCCCCTTGGTTTTGCTGGGAGTCTCCTGATATTGGGCTCTATCTCCTAGAGGCTACTGAGGCCAAACTGGAAGACTCTAGACAGCTAAAAGTCTGGTGGTGCAGTGGAACTAAAAGATTCCTTGCCTGCCCTGGCTCTGCACCACTTCTAGAAACAGTCTGCATGGCTCAACGGCTCTCAGGGGTCCCTGTGCACTGTCCTCACCTTGGGCACTGATGTACAGCTCCCATTGGCCAGGAACTGCAGCCAATGGGAGTGGCAGGGGTGGTGCTTGCATGCAGGGGCAGTGTACTGAGCCCCCGACACCCCTCCTGGGGCTGCAGGGACATGCCAGCTGCTTCTGGGCATGGAGTGGTACCAGAGCAGGCAGAGAGCGTGCCTTAGCCCTGCTGCGCTGCTGACTGGAAGCCAGGTAAAAACTGCCTAGCTGGAGTCCAAACCCCTGCTCCAGTTCTGAGATCCCTCCTGTACCCAAACTCCCTCACAAAGCCTGCCCCCCTGCCCCATGCTCAGCCCAGACCCACCTCTCATAATTCAAATCCCTTGGTCCCAACCCAGAGCCCACAACCCCAAACCCCTGCCCCAGCTCGGTGGAAGTGAGTGAGGATGGGGGAGTGAGCGAGGGAGGATGGAATGTGCTGAGCAGGGCCTTGAGGGAAGTGGTGGGACAGGGCAAGGCTGTTTAGGTTTGTGTGATTGGACAGTTGAAAACTCTACACCTACTAGGGATGTAAGTGAGCAGTCAACTACCCAATAAGCAAATGAGGCAGAGGCAGCAAGGAAGAGGGGAGCAGGAGCCAGTGCTTGGGGGGAGCCAGCTTAAGAGCCAGTTCTCCCTTAGCGCTGTCTCTGCGGGGAAGGGGGGCAGAGGCACTTCAGGGGACTGGACATGAGCCGGGAATCCGCTGTCATGGCTCGCACCTGCTCCCAGACGCTGCGCCTCTGCCTTTTAAATGCAGTAAGAGCTTGGTGGCTCTTACTACATTTAAAAGTCAGAACAGCAGTGAGGTTATCTCCCAAAGCCAGGGGGTTACCTTCCTATGGCTCTGCAGTTCCCCCCTTATCAACTTGATGGAAATTCCATCATTTACTCTATTAGCTGATTAAACAAAATTTAACATCCCTAATATCTGCATTGCTCAGCAGTTTGAAAGATGATTCTCCTTATTGATAATCTCTTTAGATTAATACTTCTATTGGGGGTAAAAGTAACTGCTTTCCTCTTCCTTGGTCATTGAGGAGACTTTAAGGTAAATGTAGTTTTTCACAGCTGTAGGTACAAAGTCTTTGTCCCATTTC